ACCTCTAAATAATCAAAACATATAATTATAACCCCTCCATCAATTTGAATAGTTATGTCGAATAAAAACATCACCACATGCGTGGTAAAGGCATAATCGAGGGGTGTTTTCATCATTACAGGCCATGTGTTAGGGTAAAATTATTTTACCCAATTTGACTCATAAACAAATTTACCAAATCCCCAATTGCTAAACTTGACCACAATCAATTAAAAAAGTAAAACCCAAAACCCTGAATAGAGAAATTCCAGTAAGGATAGGCAACTTGAATTAATTGAGTTGTCTTCATTTGGAATTTAATTTATTTTTTAGTATTGTTCCAAATTCATTGGATTCATGTGCTTCTCTTAATGACATAAATCTGTCATACAATTCATTTTCTGGGAATATTCCAACAAGTTTTGGTTCACTTCCAAGTTTGAACTTTCTAAATCTCTCAAAAATTCAATTCTTTGGTGAGATTTTTCCAAACTTTACATCACTATATCTAAACTTTCTTAATTTATCAAACACTCGATTGGGTACATCCCAAATTCTTTATCAATAGATATTTATGTTCAACATAATGACTCAAGTTGATAGAAAGGATAGAACTATACGTTTTAATTAGTTGGAGGGTTAGAATTTATCAATTAATAATTGGAGGACCAAAAGTTGAACTTTATAATAGTTTGAAGGCCACTAACATCTCATGTATTTTTTTGTCTCTATTAAACATAACAATTGAAGTTGATGCAAGGGTTAGAATTATATGTTTTAATTAATTTGAGGGCTAAAACTTATCAATTAATAGTTAAATTTTGTAATAGTTTGACGGTCATTGGGGCATTTTGCCCTATTTATTCTTGATCCTTCCAAAACCAAGAATAATTGTCTAATAAACTGCACTAATATTTGCAAGCTATTTTGTCGAAATAATAAAGATGGAAACATGGATTTGGCTGTGATTTAAATAATGTCAATCAAACAAAACTCAAAATGTAACCACTAGATGTGACTTTTCCAAGATCTTTGCAACGAAATTAAATATGCACCTCAGGTGTTAGATTTTTTAAAAGATAAAATTAATTAGAAAAAGTTATAAATGTAAGAGAAGATAGTAATTGTTAGTATATGTATATACGTGGCAATTTAAGTAAAATTGAATCATATTAACGAATGCCCATTAAGCACCGAAAAATCCATAAAATATACACATTTATGTTCATGGATGGTGTTGATTTAGCCAATTTCTAAAAAAAAAAAAAACTCAAATGAAAGCATAGATTAAAAAAATGTTTGGCATAAGCCCTCCAGTTAAATACACCTCTTATATGTCCTGATGGATAAAAATAGTGTGAAAAAGTCGAATAAAGACAAATAATATCAAAATGTACTCTGTTACGATAAAGAAAATAGGAATTCTATTGACAAAATAAACAAGTTCAAAAAGATGATAGGGTACCATGTGGAGTATGAAAGTTACCAGTTTAAACTGTTAAAAGATTACTTCTTTCCACTTGTACAAGCGAAAAATGAAAAAAGAAGTGAAAATTTACACGCCATTCAAAATTACCTTCCAAATATGAATGTTGAGAATTAACATCTGATAGGTCAAAATGTAATTAAAATATGGGTTATGATCACTTTACCCCTTCAACGTTTAGTGTCACTATTAATTTTCCCTTAATATTATTTTTTAGCCATTTTATCATCAAAACTAATGGTCAAATTTAACGGAGTTTATGAATCCAAATGATAAAACGCGTTTAATCTTTAAAATTATTATCACTTTACACCCATAAACTATAATCTTATTATAAATTTACCCCCCTAGAGTTATTTTTTAGGCAATTTATCCCAACATTAAACCAGTTTAGCAAGCTAAAAAGCTTTAGAAGATGGTACCTTCTTTTTTCCTCGACGACAAGATATAGATATTTCCTGCTAACGAGACTAGATGACTAATTTATTGCTTAGACTTTAGATTTTGATACTTTATTAATTTTTTTTTTTTGGAGAAACATAGGTTGTAGCTTCGGATAATTGAGTATTAGTCTTATAATTTAAACACTTCATAATCAGGAAATTGCATAATTTCTAGCAAATAGATATGAAGACTTAGGATTATGATTTTTCTTGTAGACAATAATAAAGGGTGTGTTTGAATAGAAGATCATTTGAAATACTTATTGTAGCACTTTTTTACTATGTAATATATGTGAATATAAAAGTAATTAGAAAGATAAAAACGTGTGTTGAAAAATGTATTCATTTTTGAAAAATATTTTCATAAATTGTTTGATTTTATAATTTTTTAAAATTTATTAGTGATATATATTGTAATTTTTTTAGTATTTTTATTATTTTTTAGTTATTTAAAAATCCAAATATGTGGGGCTTCTCCAGATGGGGCTTTCGCGCTCTTTGACAGACATTACCTAACTTGCACAATATGTTTGCGGGCAACCCTCAACCATTAAATGAGATAATGGACCCTTCCCAAGGCCAAATGTTTGGAATACAAAATACTAACTACCCGTTTGGTTACTGCAAGGGAATAGCAATAACAATCACTATGAAATACCCCTTCAATGATAATAGCTTTCTCAAAATCAAAACCAATGTTTGGTATCTGTAGTGGAATGAGAATGATTGTCTCTTTTTTTTCATTTTTTCATTCTTTTTCGATCCTCTTCCTCTTCGTTTCCAAAAGAAAAAAAAACAGAGAGGAATCTTCACATTGGCTGCTACTCAAAGCATCTCCAACAAACCCAAAGCATCAAAACCTTTTTAACAATCCCTCATGTCTCTAACTGATCAAAACCCAGAGCAATTAATCAAACAATTATTAGAACTAAATCAAACCCAAAATTTCTCAAAGTATCAAGCTTTTTGCTTCATCAAAGAGATAAAATCAAACTTTTTAAACTACACCATCATCCTTTGCCTATGGTTATTTTGCTCAAAATTTCCATCATCTAATTCCCTTTTTTTTTGAACTCCACTAAACAACTCACCCATCCCATCTTCATTTCTTGTTCTTTGTACCTTTATTGCGAGATGTTTCTTTTCATTCTCTAGTGTAAGAATCCAACATGAAGTTTGAGAGATTTTAGGTGGGTAAGGCAAATTGAGCAGATGAAAATTTGGAAATATTGTAAAGGAATGAAGAAAGCAGGAAAGAGAGGACATAACGATGGATCTCTTGTTTCCAAATTTGACCTAATCTTGGCTAAAAATTGAAGTTGATTCATCCGTGATTTTGTTGTCCATTGACAGAGGTAAAAACAGGGGAGTTGGGGAGAGAACAAAGCAAAGAGCAAGAGAGGAAGATGGGTCTCTTTAAAATTTGAGTGCCCAATTTACTCAGTAATGGGCATTACCCACTTTTGGGTTTTTCTTAGTGATAGATAGATACCAATAGATATGAACCAACCATCATGTAAGGATTTCAAAAGCCAAAAACCCATAATGGAGAGAGGGATTCCCCCCAACCAAATAGCAAGTAAGAATTTTTCAGGCATTAAAAGATGGCTTAGAAATATAGATACAAGAAGCGGATTGAAGCGGGGGAAAAGGAAATCACAATTGATCAGTTCGAGCCCTAACTGGTTGGTCTCCTAGTTGGACTATCAACCAAGCTAGAAAACCCAATATATAAGTTAACAGTATACTCTGTTTATGCTTTGACCGGGTGCAAACGAGGTGAATCGAGTCAAGTTTCGACCTAATCGAATCGAGTTTCAATATAATTTTACGAAACTCGAACTCGAACTCGAACTCGAATTCAACAAGTTCAGAATGTCAAACTTGAGCTCCAGCTTGAAAAAATATAAAATAATTATTTTATTTTTAAAAAATGAATAAAATAATAATTTTTCTTAACAAATAATAAAATATTAGGGTTATATATGTAATTTTACAATTAAAATAAAAAATAATATATATATGTATATATATATAATCCAACTTGAGCCGGCTTGCGAGTTAAGAAACTTAGTATTTTTGAATTCTAGTTCGACTTGATCAGTTCAAACTCAACTTAAACTCGATGTTGACTGAACTCGAGCTACTCGCAAGCAATTCGTTTGCAGCCCTAGACCAGCGCATCATATTAGAGCATTTAGGTAGTAAACAAGAGAGCGGCGGCAGCAAAGATGGCAGGTTGGAGAATGTTCAGAAGAAGCAAAAGTTGAGAAGCTTCCTGACATTGCAGAGGAGGCAAAGGAGGAGGAGGAGTATCGAAAGGCAAAAGTGTAGGAGGAATGGTGGGATCGTGAGAAGAAGGAATGCAAGAAAACCAACTTGGATGAAATTGACTGGAATGAAGTATTGACTAATATGAAGCCCATGTATGCTAAGGAATTCTTTGAGTTGTGCCATTCAATTCCTCCTCCTCTAGCTAACTTTTGACAATATTGAAGGATTTGACCTCAATCTGAAGCGTGACTTCGTCCACAGTGTGGATCCTGAGTTATGGATACCAAAAGTACAAGCTATTGTCGAAAAACTTTTGGAAACTAAAGTATGATTGATAGTGACCCTAAAACTGGAAATTAAAACAATTAGGTAATTAATTGATAAATAGGTTGGATTTAATTTTCCAACACACACAGCATACAATTTCTCAAGTAAATAAAAGGAATACTTATCGTAGATGCTGGAAAAATTAGTGCCTGACACATGTCATGCCCGAACTACATTAGTCGAAGGCTGAACTATAAACACAACCAAACTATGGTTGTGTCCAAAGCTATAGATAAGGCCTATGTCATGGGAATTGTTATTGATAGATAAGTAAATGAACTATCATATTTATTCTCACTCACTTAATACGATATGAGCATTAAAGGATTTTTTTATCAAGAATTCAGGGAATAATAACTACATTGTCATCTCTATCGGGAACGTAAGATGATCTTTTTTTTTCGGAAACGATAGATGAAATTTTATAACTAATCAAACTTTACAGTATTTGAGTAACGGCTCAATCAACTATACAAAGTGTACCATGACACTTAAGAAGAAACAAAAGCTCTCTCCTCATCCATAAATATGCTTAGAGCATAATGGCTAATGCGATTACAATGAGTCATATTACTAGACTTTCCTACTTCAAAAAAGCACATTTGAAACAGATTAGCTAAAGCAAGTATGTCTTCCACCAACGTGACAATGTTTGGATTGTCTCCTTTCCCACTTTTTAGCAAGGCAATCAGATGTTTGTTGACGTTTATGACTTTGATCCTTTGCCAACCCAGCTGTCTTGCTTTCATTAGTGCCAGTCTCACTGCAACAGCTTCATCTTGGATATCCATTAGCGAGCTTCTATCCACTAACGCCCATTCAGCTTTGATTCTTCCTCCATTCTGCTTGGCCACTTTGCCAATTCCCAACTTATGGTCCTCTGTTGATTTCTGTGTTGCAATCTGAAGTTCCATTAGCTCTCTTCCTTCCATTCCTTCCTCCCCTAAGCTTGCATTTGCTGCATCTATTTCTGATGTACTTCTAACTTCCTTTCCTGAACCAGCTTCCTCAAACTCCATCCACTCTGTGCTGGCCTTTTGCACAACTCTTATTCCTACCTTCTCCTTTCCTTCGAATTCCAGCTCATTCCTATCCTTCCATAGTTGCCAAAGTATGTTAGAAGTCAGAGCTATATGCTGTTTTCCTTCATTCCTACTCCTGGATTGCGTCAATGCTGCCCACCACTGCTTGAAGCAACCTGTTTGGTTCTGTATGCCGTCCCATTGTACTGGTGCAAACTTCCATACTTTTAGAGCCTGTGGACAGTGGAACAGAATATGTTCCACTGTTTCTATCTTATCTCCACATCTTGAACAAAATGGAAATCCTTGTTTTGTTCTTCTGAATATTGTTTCCCTTGCTGTTAAAGTGTTAGTGATACACCTCCATATGAATAACTTAATCTTATGCTTGATATTCAGCTCCCAAAGAGTTTTCCAGATTTGTGTGTTGGAATCATCATAACTAGAGCCAGATTCCCTTTTGCTTCTACTTCCTTCCTCCTCTCTTCCTTAATCAGAACTTGATAACAGGATTTCACTGAGTACTCCCCGTGTTTATTGTGTATCCAAAGTGCTTGTCTCCAGTCCTTGAAAGGCTAATAGGTATCTTCATGATGTTCTCAGTATCCTCTCTATTAAATCTTCTGAAAATTAAGCTCCTATTCCATCTGAAGTTTGAGATCAACTCTTCCACTTTCTGCTCCTCCCCACTGTTTGGCAACCTTGTTGTTGGCCTTCCATTTGGATTGTTTGGAATCCATTGATCCTTCCAGATTTTGATACTTTTCCCTAAACCAAGTCTCTTCAGTATACCCCCCTTGACTACTTCTCTTGCCGACATTATACTTTACCAGAACCATGATGAATTTTTGGGAATCTCACAATTCAGTATGGAGTCCCTGGGGTAGTACTTAGCCTTTAATGTTCTACTGACCAAAAGGTTTGGGAATCGTATCATCCTCCAAATCTGCTTTCCCAATAATGTTTTGTTGAAACATTGCAAGTTCTTGAACCCCAAACCTCCATCCAGGTTTGCCTTCATCATTCTATCCCAAGAGCACCAACGAACCTTGCTTCTCCCTTCTAATTCACCCCACCAGTACTTGGCCATCAATCCTGTGATCTCTTTGCGCAATCTAACTGGTAGCTTGAAGCAGGACATAGCATAATTTGGCATAGCCATTGTCACAGCTTTTAGCATCACCTCCTTACCTGCTGCACTCAAAAACCTATTCTTCCAAGTACCCTCAGAAATCTTCCCTTGATTCACTGTCCTCACACCTGCAAGTGGTTCACAGGTCTCCACCTTATCCCTTTCATTAGTGTTCTTGTTGAAACAGATAGAAGATTTCTCCAAATTAATCATTTGGCCAAACCCTCTTTCATATTGATCCAAAATTTCCCTTAGCTTCCTTATTTCTTCTCCCACAGCTTTACAAAAGATTAGGTTGTCATCAGCAAAAAAGAGATGTGTGATTGCTAGCCCTTGTCTGCTAATCCTTAGTCCACTTAGTAATCCCTGCCTTGCTGCTTTCCTTAACATATTTGATAGACCTTCAGAGCACAATAGGAACAGGTAAGGTGACAGAGGATCACCTTGCCTAATGCCTCTAGATGGAATCATATGTTTCTTGGTCTCTCCATTGATATTGAAGGAATAAGACACTGAGGTGATACTCTCCATAGTCCACTCCACCCACACCTTACTGAACCCCATATTTTCCATCACAGCTTTCAGATAACCCCACTCCACCCTATCAGAAGCTTTGGACATGTCCAGTTTGATTGCAGTATAGCCATCATTGCCTTGTCTCTTGTTTTTAAGAAAATGCAGGCATTCATGGGAGATAATTATGTTGTTGTCCAGAATCTGTCTGTTAGGAATGAAGACAGATTGATTTTTGCTAATGTAATGTTCAAGGACGGGTTTCAGCCTATTAGCTAGAATTTTTTATATGACTTTGTATAGAACATTGCAAAGACTGATTGGCCTGTAATGTTTCAGATCAGTAGGTAATTCTATCTTAGGAATGAGAGAAATGATACATGGATTCCTATAAGGGATAATTGCAGAAACCTCCCCTGACTTTTATAGTAATAGCATTGACTTCCCCTATCAATTTTGAAATAGCACTAACCTCCCCTATCAAAAGTTGGAGGCAATTTAATAGGCAAAAGTGGGACAATTTACTAAAGTACCACTGACATGATTTAATTTTACCAAATGAATGTGATGAGTACTTTCATCAAACCCAACAAAATATTTGTTAATAAAAATTACACTAAATTAACTATTTATGCATAGTTTAACTAATTAACTAATTAACTAAATAACTAATAATCTAACTAATTAATAACTAATTATCTAATTAACTATTAACTAATTAACTAATTATCTAATTGTTAATAGTTATTAACTAATCAAACTATCTCTGCATAATTAAACTAATTAACTATTAACTAATTAACTAATTTCTGTTTATCTAATTAACTAATCTCTATTTATCTAATTAACTAATTAACTAAAACTGTTGACTGTCCGAAACTAATAAACTATTTGCATGCTAAACTAATTAACTAATTAGCTGCTTAACTAATTAACTACGTAATTATCTAATTAATTAATTAACTAATTAACTAATTTTTGTTTATCTAATTAACTAATTAACTACGTAATTATCTAATTAATTAATTAACTAATTAACTAATTTTTGTTTATCTAATTAACTAATTAACTAAAGTTGTTGTTTATCCGAAACTAACAAACTATTTGCATGTTAAACTAATTAACTGCTTAACTAATTAACTAATTAACTAAAGCTGTTGTCTATCCTAAACTAACAAACTATTTGCATGTTAAACTAATTAACTAATTAACTGCTTAACTAATTAACTAACTAATTATCCCATTAATTAATTAACTAATTTTTGTTTATCTAATTAACTAATTAACTAAAGTTGTTGTCTATCCGAAACTAACAAACTATTTACATGTTAAACTAATTAACTAATTAACTGGTTAACTAATTAACTAAAACTGTTGTCTGTCCGAAACTAACAAACTATTTGCATGTTAAACTAATTAACTAATTAACTACTTAACTAATTAACTAACTAATTATCTAATTAATTAATTAACTAATTTCTGTTTATCTAATTAACTAATTAACTAAAGCTGTTGTCTATCCGAAACTAACAAACTATTTACATGTTAAACTAATTAACTAATTAACTGCTTAACTAATTAACTAATTAATTAACTAACTAATTAACAAACTATTTGCATGTTAAACTTTATGCAGTACATATTACCTATTTAAAGTATCGGCTCTTTATAGGTATTTTATTTTCAAACATTTAATTTATAATAAAAATATCAATGTTTGTAAGTAAAATTCAAAAAGTGTTACAAAATATATCAATATTCTTACTTTCAAACATTTAATTTATGGCCCTATGCCTCTCTCTTTTTGTAAGAATATTACTGTAATACTTTTTGAATTTTACTTACAAACATTGATGTTTTTATCATAAATTAAATGTTTGAAAGTAAAATACCCATAAAGAGCCGAAACTTTAAATAGTTAATGCGTACTGCATATAGTTTAACATGCAAATAGTTTGTTAATTAGTTAGTTAATTAATTAGTTAATTAGTTAAGCAGTTAATTAGTTAATTAGTTTAACATGCAAATAGTTTGTTAGTTTTGGACAGACAATAGTTTTAGTTAATTAGTTAATTAGATAAATAGAAATTAGTTAATTAGATAATTAGTTAATTAGTTAATAATTAATCGGATAATTAGTTAATAGTTAATTAGTTTAACTATTAATTAATTAGATAATTAGTTAAGCAATTGTCAAGCAAATAATAATTGTCAAGCAAAAAGAGGGCAAAATTGGAAGAAATTTCTTATCTCACTTCTACAAAAGCTGTTAGGAAGGTTTCTGCAACAAATTGTTGCTGTTCAGGGGAGGTGAATGCAATTTCTAAACCTAGAGGGGAGGACAGTGCAAATATCAAAAATTTCAGGGGAGGTTTCTGCAATTATCCCTTCCTATAAATACCCAAACTACATACCACAAAAGGGATCGACCTTTTGACACATACTTCTCTCATTGCAATGATAACTTTGAGGCTATTCATGCTACGAAATCTCAGTGGTACGAAATCTGAATTGATTGTCAAATTGACCCCAATAACTAGACCTTGAGGGAATCTGAAAGACCCCGGAGAAATCTAATTTGATCGTCGGGGTCGAACTGACCTAAGGACTAGACCTCGAAGGAATCTGACAGTTTCCTGACCCCAGGAACTAGACCTTGAGGGAATTTGAACTGACCTAAGGACTAGACCTCAAAGGATTCTGACATATCCTAGGGGAATTTGACTTGATAGAGGGGACTTGGAGGCTTAGACCTTGGGAATGTCACCTCGGACCAGGACCCCGGACTAGACTCTAAATCGAGATACCTTGAATCCTAGATCAAGCTAGGCTATTCTCTTATGGAATTTCTGTATCCTTTGAAATAGCGATTGAGGATGGTTGTTTCGGCCCGGATAGCCTGGGGCCTTACCCTATGATGCTTCCAGAAGTGCCACCTCAGCCCACTATCTAGCGAGGTGGTATCGACCCAATTATCACCTCGGCTGGGATCTTCAGGTCATTAGCCGAGGTGACGTCTGGGCATCTGACAACTGTAAAAGGTGGGGTGTGACCCCTGACACATGCTGTCTGATTGACGAAAAGTTGCTCTGACACCTGCGGTCTGAATCTGACCACTGTCCTGACGTAGCTTCCCACAAAGACCAGTCAAATCAACTTGATACACTATGCAGGACAAATCTCTGGGGACCTGTGCTGGCAGTCCCTCTTCCCAATCAGTCCCCTATAAATACCCAACGTATCAACTGAGAAAGGGGATGACCAATTTCGGGTAACATTATACTGATTCTCTCAATTGCTATTTTACTTCTTCAATACCAAACTAACTAAAGTTTCGGAGTTACCCTGGGGGATTTAGCCCCCTCTTGTTAATTAAACAGGTGACCTCGTCGCGGTGACCTGTCAAGGATAGGAGGTTTTTCCAGTCCGGGAGAGTCACTTCAGCGGGACAGAAAATACCTTTTCAATTGGCGCCGTCTGTGGGAACGCGAAGACATTAGGATATGAAACCTACGCGTTCTAGAAGCAGGAAAGCTCTCACTATTGGAGCTGAGCAGAGTAATGCAGCCCAGCAGGAAGATATTTCCGAAGTGCAGGAGTCCCCGAGGACTCAGCCCGCAAACGAAGAAGCCATAACCCGTATGATCGAGTTTGTGACCGAGAACCCCAACATCTTTGAGGAGTTGGGGAGGTACCTTAAGAGGCAAGGCAAACAGAAGGCTGAGTCCTTTAAAAAGAAGTCAGATGGATCTCCTGAGGAATCGTCTGAAGAGTCGGATGGAAGGCGCCTAAGCCGAAGTGCTTCAAAACGGGAATTCTCTAAGGCCACCTCTAAGGTAGCCTCCCTGACCAAGGCGTTCTCCCGAGGGCTCTTGGGACGACGACCTGAGGAGGAACCTCGGCCCTTGGGAAGACCTGTGGTGGATTATATGAGGGCTCCACCTTTCACTGATGATATCAATGAGGAAAGACTTCCTTCAAACTTCAAACTCCCTTCGATACAATCTTATGACGGGCCGAGGTGATCCCGAGGATCACATCCACGCCTTCATCTCAGCCTTCCGCTTATACTGCATCCCTGACCCCGTCATTTGCCGGGCTTTTCCAGTGTTTCTCCAGGGGAGAGCTCGAAAATGGTTCCGGAGATTAGAACCTAGGAGCATCTCAACCCTGGGGGAATTAGTGGAGAGATTTCTCCATCGGTTTGTATCCTCCCGACCTACGACCAGAATCTCGGCTTATCTGCTGAATATATAACAGAATCCGGGGGAGTCACTTCGGTCGTACGTCCAGAGATTCCATGAACAAAGTGTGCATATACCTGACCCCAATGAGCAGGTCACCATCGTTGCTTTTACCCATGGGCTCGTTGCCGAGGTATTCAACATGGGGATTCACAAGAAGTATCCCCGCACGCTCCACGAACTGTGGTTGAAAGTCGAGAAGGGCATATAGGCCGGAGACCTCAACCGCATGAAGAAAGAGGTCCAATCCGCTCGCCCGAGGGCTGACCCCCGAAGGGGAAAAGATCTTGGCCGAAGTGAAGTGGGGACCGAGAGTGGCTTCCAAAGTCCTAACCGAGACCGCCGTAGCGTGTTTGACAGGATTTCCAAGGGGAAGTCATCCATCCCCGAGTCCGAGTTAACTCCCCTGAACACCACCCGATCCCGGGTATTGTCCGTAATGGAACAGAACAACCTCGGGAAGGCACCTCCGAAGATGCTCGGCAGCCGAGACAAGAGGAACTCGAACCTCTACTGCTTGTATCACCGAGACATCGGGCAAGAGACGGAGGACTGCAATGACCTCAAAAGGGAGATTGAGAACCTCATCAGGCAGGGACACTTAAAGCAGTTCATCCGTCGAGGGGGAGGTCATCGATATGAACCCCGACGTGATGGACGAGGTGACCAACGCCGAGATGAAAGGCGGACATCAAGAAGCAGCTGCCGACCCCTTGAGGATTCTAGGGAGACAAAAAGGCCTCCCCGAGACGGATCTTCAGGTCAGGGGTTAGGATATGGGCCAAAAATTGCTGGAATCATCAACACTATTGCCGAGGGTCCGACGGGAGGGGATAGCCAGAACTCCCGGAAGAGGACCTACAG